CCCTGGCTCCTACCCTCAGGCTCTCACAAGGATGGAAAGAGAAATCACATTAGACATAGGGGACACGCGTTCTGGAGCTGGCTATTATTGGGGAACACTGTGTTTTAGAACATTCTATCCGAAAAAGGGCAAAGGGTAACATTACAAAGGAACTGGTGAGTGTAACTCAACCCCACCGGGTAACAACTACTCATGGAGCCATTTCTCATTATCCGAGCAGAGGTAAAGCCCAAGCTATTGTGGGGCACAATAATTGTTCAGTATCTCTTACTCAGGACTTAAGGGCGAGTATTTCCAGAGTGACTCCTTCATCTGCCAGTGAAGGGACGGACTGGAACCTACCCTGGGACCTGGATCAAGCAAGGTGGGTCTGGGTTGGGCCTCAGCTCAGGCGGGTGTCTGCTGGTGTGTGGTTGCGGCCCTGAGCTCTGACGGGACTCTGAAAGTGGCTGGATGGACCAGGCTTACTCTGGGCCCTGGCTCATGCGCTGGTAGTGAGGTGGACTTGGGCCAGGGCTGAGTTTCTGCAGGGGTTCCACAGTAGCGTGATGGACCCAGGTCTACCATATGTCCTGAATCCGGCCCAGTTCAGCGAAGCATATATAGGCTGGGCTTCAGCTCTGGCATGTTACTGCCAGTAGGCGGTGGTGCTCATTAGCTCTAGCAGGGCTCTGCCTGTGGCCAGATGGCCCTGGTCTACACTTGGCCTTGGCACCCATGGAGGCCAGTGAGGTAAATCTGGGCCAGTCCTGAGCTATGGTGTGGGTCTGTAGCTGGCCATAGGAGGTGCTGGGCTGGGCCTGAGCTCGCGAGTGTCTGCAGAGGCAGTCCTGAACTCTGGAAGATCTGACAGTGGCGGGATGGACCCTGGAATACCCTGGGTCCGAAACTCCTATATATGTCAGTGAGGCAGGTCTGGGCTGGATCTCAGCTCTAGCCAGTGTCTGCCTGTGGCAGGATAGACCCCGGCTTACCCTGGGCCCTGGCTCCCATGCAGGTAAGCTAGATGCATCTGGGCGAGGCCTCAGCTTCAGCAGGTTTTAGCCAGTATAGGGATAGATAGACTTGGGCCTACCTTGGGCCCTAGTTTCTATGCAGGTCAGCAAGGTGGGTGTGGACCAGGCAATAGCTCAGGAGGGAGTCTGCTGGTGGGTGGGGGCAGCGCTGAGCTCCAAAGGGGGTTTGCAGGTTTGGGGATAGACCAGGGCCTATTCTGGTTTCTTCCTCCCTCCTTGGTCAGAAAGGTGGATCTGTGCCAGGCCTAACCTCCGGGTGTGTCTGCCTCTGTGCAGAGGTGGTCTGTCCTGAGATCCAGCAACAATCTATTGGTGGAAAAATGGACTCCAGCCTTCCCTGGTCCCTGCCTCCCTCCTTGGTTGGCAAGGTGGATCTGACCAGGCCTGAGTTCTGGTGTGTGTCTGCTGGTGGGAAGTGGTGGTCCTGAGCTCCAGTGGGGCTCTCCTGTGGCACGATGTATCCTGTCCTATCCTGGTCCCTGCCTACCTCCTTGGTCAATGAGGTGACTCTGGGCAGAGCCTGAAGTCTGGCGGGTATCTGCTTGTGGGTGCAGGTTCTCCTGAGCTCTGGTAGGGTCTGCCAGTGGCAGGATGGACCTGTGCCTACCCTGTGTCAAAGCTCCTATGGATGTCGTCCAGGCAGGTCTGGTCCGGCCTAAGTTCTGGCCAGTGTCTGACAGTGGTGGGATGGACCCGGGCTTACAGTGGGGCCTGGCTTCTTGTGCAAGTTGGTGAAGCTGATCTGGGCTCATCTGAGCTCAGGTGGGGATCTGCTTATGGGAGGAGGCAGTCCTGGGTAGGCCTCAGCTTGGTCGGTTTCTTCCCCTGGGTGGAGGCAGTCCTGAGCTCCAGCAGGTGTCTCCTGTTAGTGGGATATATCTGGGGCTTCCCCAGGTCCTGGTTCCTGAACTGGTGGGTGAGGTGGATCTGGGCCAGGCTTGGGCTTTGGTAGGTGAGTCCTGAGCAGTCCTGAGCTCCAGCAGGCCTGTGTCAGTGGTGTGATGGACTTGGGCCTACCTTGTGCCCTGGCTTCCACGCTGGTCAGTGAAGCAGATCTGGGCCAGGCTTGTGCTCCAGTGGGGGTTTGCCACTGGGTGAAGGAGCTCCTTGGTCGGGCCTGAGCTCCAGAGTGTTTTTGTTGGTGGCAGAATGGACTCGGGCCTATCCTGGGGACCTGGCTCCCATGCAGGTCAGGGAGGCGGATCTGGGACAACCCTGAGCTCTGTGTGGGTCTACAGCTTGCCATAGGAGATTCTGGGCAGGGCCAGAGCTTCAGCAGGTGTCTGCTTGTGGGTGGTGGCGGTCCTGAGCTCTGGCAGGGTCTGCCAGTGGTAAAATGGACCCGTGCCTACTCTGGGTCCAAGCTCCTGTAGATGTCATCCAGGAGGGTCTGGTTCCTCCTCAGTTATGGCCAGTGTCTGACAGTGGTGGGAGGGACCTGGGTTTGCAGTGTGGTCTGGCTACAGGGCAGGTTGGTGAGGCTGATCTGGGCTTCCTCTGAACTCAGGTAGGGATCTGCTTGTGGTCTGAGGTAGTCCTGGGCCAGCCCTGATCTCCAGCCAGTTTCTGCCCCTAGGAGGATTCAGTCCTGAGCTCCAACAATGTCTGCTGTGGGCAGGATGTACCGGGGCTTCTCTGGGCCCTGGCTCTTGCGAGGTGCATCTGGCCCTGCCCTGAGCTCAGATGTTTTTCTGCAGGTGGGTGGTGGCCGTCCCAAGCACAAGCAGGGCTTTTCCAGTGGCTCGATGGACCTGGGCCTACCTTATGCCTGGCTTCCGCGCTGCTCAGTGAGGCAGATCTGGGCCAGGCCTGAGCTCTAGTGGGGGTCTGCTGCTGGGCAGAGGCAGTCCTTGGCTGGGCCTGAGCTCCAGAGTGTTTTTACTGGTGGCGGAATGGACTTGGGCCTACCGTGGGACTGAGGTCCCATGCAGGTCAGCAAGGCAGGTCTGGGTCATAACTGAGCTCTGGTGTGGAGTCTGCTGGTAGGCAGTGGTGGTCCTGAGTTCTAGGAGGGTTCTGCCAGTGGTGTGATGGAAACAAGCCTGCCCTTAGACCAGGATGCCACGCTGGTGGGTAAGTTGGATCTGGGTCAGGCCTGAATCTGTCAGTTATCTACTGGTGGTGGGATCATCCTGATTTAAGCTGTACCCTGGCTCCCACTCAGGTCAAGGAGGTGGATCTGTGCTGGGCCTCAGCTCCTGCAAGGTCTGTTAGGTGGGTGGAGGCGGTCCTGTGCTCCAGCAGGGTTCTGCCAGTGGTGTGATGACCCGGGCCTACCCTGGGCCCTGGATCCCTGTGCAGCTGGGCAAGGCAGATCTGGGATGGGCCTGAGCTCTGGTGGAGGTGTGCCACTGGGCAGAGAAAGTCCTTGGCCAAGCTTGAGCTCAGACGGATGTCTGCAGGTCGGGAGATGTATTCGGGTCTACCCTGTGTCTGAGCTCACGCACAGGTCAGCAAGGCAGATCCGGGCCAGGCATGAGCTCAGGCAGGAGTCTGGTGATGGGAGGAGGTGGTCTTGAGCTCCAGCAGGGCTTTGGTGGTGGCATGATGAAAACTGGCCTACCTTAGGCCCTGGCTCCCATGCTGTTCAGCGAGGTGGATCTGGGCCAGGCCTGAGTCTGGCTGGGGTCTGCTGGTGGCAGGAAGGAATGGGCCTACCCTGAGCCCTGGCTCCCACACTGATGGCAAGGTGGATTTGGGCCAGCCTTGAGATCAGGAGGGGTTCTGCTAGTGGGCGGAGGCAGTCCTGATCTTTCAACCAGCGGGGTTCTGCTGGTTGTGGGATGGACCTGGGCCTACCCTGGGCCCAGGATCCTGTGTGGGTTGGCGAGTCATAACCTGCTCGTACCTGAGCTCCTGCAGGTGTCTACCAGTGGGCAGAGGCTGTCCAGACCTCTGGCGAGGTCTTCCAGTGTTGGGATGGACCCAGGGCTACCTTGGGTCTGAGCACCAGTGGATGTTGCAAGGAGTGTCTGGGCTGGGCTTCAGTTCTGGCAGGTTTCTGCCAGTGGTGAGATTTACCCAGGGCTTGCCTGGGCCCTGGATCCTGTGCTGGTCAGTGAGGTGAATTTGGGCCCAGCTTGAGCTCCGGGGTGTGTCTGCCAGCGGGCCTGTGACAGTGGCGCAATGGACCTGGGCCTACCTTGTGCCCTGGGTTCCACGCCGGTCAGTGAGGCGGATCTGGGCCAGGCCTGAGCTCTGATGGGAGTTTGTTGCTGGGCAGAGGCGATCCTTGGCTGGTCCTGAGCTCCAGAGTGTTTTTGCTGGTGGCGGAAAGGACTCAGGTCTACCCTGGGACCAAGTGCCATGCAAGTCAGCAAGGCAGGTGAGGGTCATGCCTGATCTCAGGCTGGAGTCTGCTGGTGGGTGGAGGTGGTCCTGAGCTCTGGTGGGGTTCTACTTGTGGCATGATGAACCCTGGCCCACCCTGGGACCTAGCTCCTGAGGTAGTCAGCGAGGTGGATATTGGCCAGGCCTGATCTCAGGCGGGGCTCTGCCAATGGCAGAATGGACCTGGGCCTACTCTGGGCCCTGGCTCCTGCATGGGTTCAAGAGGCCTATATGTCACAGAATCTCTGACCATGATTTTTGCAGTCAGTGAAGCAGTCTCAGCTGAGACTACACAGAATTCTCTAAGGGCCACATTGCCGATAGAGATGGCTTAGACTTGCCCACAGTTCATTTGTGGCTTCCAACATCTCATGTCTTTATCAGGATGTGGTAGAGAAGACTCCTGATGTCCCTGGTGGATCCAAAGTACTCTCAGCCAGAACCTATGCAGAGGAACCTAAGGTAGTTTTCAGATTTAGCTTCTGCAGGTCTTCAGAGTCCATATGACTCATGCCCAGGCTGAGATGTCAGGGTCAACTGATCATGTCTTCTGGCTGTCCACTATTTTAGCTCTCTGGTTTTACCTCTCCACTTCATCAGAGCCACACTTATTAGGCATCTGGAATATTTCTTCCCCCCTTACATTAGAGCCACCTAATTGCTGACACATGGTACGCAACAGCACAGTTTTTGGACACAAGAAACAATTCCCCTAACCACCCACTTCCAGTGCTTCCTCTTGGCATGCTGTTGCCCAGAGGCAGACTGGGTGGATATATCAGGCACCGTGGTCCTTGTAGTCAGGAAGTGGAGATGAATGGCCGGAAGGCTGGCCCTTCTCATAGCCTTTTTCCCTGCCTGTTTGGCCTCCTCAGGCAGCTGAGGCATGGGGAAGGTGGGAAGCACAGGCTCGCTAGGACTCCTTTTGGTGATGCCAGTGAAATGGGAAAGATCCATGGGGCACGGGTGAGGCTTAACCCTTGGAGGCACAGGCTTCCCCTGGAACATGCAGCCTGGCCCCTGGTTTTTCTGGTGCTTTAATATAAGGTATGTCGCCATAGCTGTATTGAATTTCCTAGTGGCCAGAGACATCCAGGTCTTATATGGATCATAACCCAGATCACACAGAATGGTCATTATTTCTGGATCTGGGTGTTTGGTGAGTGCCTCAGTAAAATGCTGGGGTACATACTGCTCACCCTGTGTCAGCCATGGGTGCTGAAGAATTTGCTTGGCTGTGGGCCGTTTCCTGGGGTTCAGGGTCAGTATTTGATGAATAAGTTGACGCGCCTCCACTGGAACACGGTGAGGGATGTTGTATGTTCCAAGCACGATCTGCCTCAGTAAATCCTGAGTGGTGCACCCCACAAAAGGGCGGGTCCCAGTCAACAAAAAGTATAGCATGATGCCCAGGCTCCAGATGTCCACTTGGGGGCCCTCATGTGCTTGCCTCAGGACCACTTCGGGGGCAAGATGTGAGAGAGTGCCCCAGAAGTGCCTGAGATTTTGGCCAGAGGTAAACCAGGTGCTGAGGCCAAAGTCAATAAGTTTTATGTTGCCTCTGGCATCTACCATGACATTCTCTGGCTTAAGGTCTCGGTGCACAATTCCCTTGTCATGGCAGTAGTCCACGGCACCCACCATCTGTTTGAAAAATCTGCGGGCCTTTTCCTCCTGCATGCCACCTGGTGGAATATGGTCAAATAACTGTCCCCCATCTGCGTATTCCATTATGATATAAATATTTCTTTGAGTTTCAATGATCTGAAATAATTGAATGATATTCGGATGATAGTCTAGGCTCCTCATAACATTTGGTTCTGAGAGTACCTGGATATTCTTCTCATTTTTACACACCACTTTGACTGCCACTTTTGCCCCAGTGAGGTGATGGCGAGCTAGTTTTATCTGGCTAAATCCGCCATGCCCAATGACCCCTAGAAACTCATAGTGGTCCTTGACCACTTTCTTCTTGCAGGAGCTGGGCCTCTGAATGTTCTGACTATGCATCCTCAGCAGAATTACCACTAAGGATGCTAGCCCAAAAAATAACAGAATAAAACAGTATCAAAAAAGCCAACCACCAACCACTAAATGCACTATCTGGGTATCCGACAGGTCACCACCAAGAGCTTCCTGTACTTGTGGACAAAAACTACCACAGTCACTTTCTCATATATCTTACTGTTTGAAACTTTCTCACAATGGCTCCTTGTGACATCAAAGCAAGCAATCACCCAGTCATACTTTGCCATAAGCCCTAGTGGTCCTCTCACTTTTGAGCCTCCAGAGCTCTTTCTGTTTTCAGAATAGGAATAAGGAAAGTCTTCAGGGTTTTTTTTTTTTTTCCTTGCTTTAGTGGGTTATGAGACATTTACTTGTTTAGAAATTAAAATTTCTATGGAACTTCAACATACCTTTTATTTTCAGTCTAAAATTCTGTAATAATTTTTTTGCTTCGAAGACTACAATGTATCTACACTCAAGGTATTCAATTTTTTTTTCCAAACCTGGAATAACTGGTGTCAAAAGGATGGTGCCACCTCACTCACATGGTGATACTATAACAAAATTGCTCTCTTCCTTAAGATACCATAGAATATAGTATAAACACTGGTGTGGATAAGAGTGAGAAAAGGTTGATCATAAATTCTCCATATAGTCCTACATACAATGCGTATGCATTACATTTTGATACCAGTAATTGAGGGGAATGGGGAAGAGATGTAAAAGAAATGCATTTTCTGTTACTGAATATAGATTCACACCAGGGGTATTCTTCCATCTTAGGTTAAAGGGAATGCCCAGAGTAACTCCATGGTAATACCTGTAGGACAAACTTAAAATGAAAGGGAAATTCAAATATTTCATGTAAAAATCAGTTAGATAGGAGAGAAGATAATCATTCATGAACACAAGGCAGAGTGAATCAGGAGCTTTCCCTGACTTAGAAGAACACAAGTTCTACTGAATCAGCAGCCTTCCCTGCTTTCCTTACATGGACAAAAGTGCCAACTGGACCAATAGCTCACCCTGCTGTCCTTATAAGGTCATGAGTCACACCAAACCAGCAGCTTGCCCTGCTTTCTATAAAGACACAATTATACTGTAACAAAAGCTTGTCCTACTCCTTATGGTCCCATTTTAGGTAATTATCTCATAATATTGCCATTTCTGAAAAAAAAAAAAAGTCTTATTCCTGGGTTGGGATTAGAATCTAAACAAGTGCACTGAGAGATATAATTCAAGTATAACACACTCTATTTCTATTTTTCTGCCACGTTTTTTCCAAAGGTGTTGAAATTTGTTTTATGTTGTTTCTACATCAATCCATATCATCATATGACCTCCCGGGTTTGTCAAGGAAGTGCATATCCTTAGTGCGTAGGGTTATGAAAATTCCTGATGTCCACTGACCCAGTAACCTTTCACTTGATTCACCTCTTAACTATTCCACTGGCTATCATCACCACACTAAGGACCAACCTGCCAATACATGAACCCTTTTGTGGGGAGGCTATTGTACCAAAACCACAGCAACACCATTTCTTTATTACATTGTTTATGTATCAGGGTCTGTCATAATTAATATTCCATGTAATACTTGATATTTAAAATTGTCTATTCTTTCCTTTATCAACGTTATTACAAATTTGTGAAGTTTATTAATCTTTTCAAAGAATCAGCTCTGTCTCACTGATTTCTTCCATTGTTTCTATTTTTAATATAATTGATCTCTGTTCTTTGATCTTTATTCTGCTTGATTTTGGTTTATTTGCTACTCAGACAACCCCCTACCACTACCCAATATTTCCCAGCTGTAAAAATGAAAATTTGTGCTTTTTTCTTATTTCTGATATGTTTTTAATGGTATCAATTTCCAAGTACTGCTTTAGATGTGGTCTAAAAATTTTTAGATGTTGTTTTTCATTAGGTTCAGTGTCCGTTTTATTTCCTTTTAAACTTCCTTGGGCCATAGATTCTTGAGATTTGTGCTTTTTTCCCAAGGTTTTTATCTTGCTGTTTTCTAGTTTGAGTCCTTTGTGGTGAAAGATCACACCAAGTATGTTTTCAATTATTTAAATTTGGCAAATTTTCTTCATGGCACAGGACATGCTTTATGCTCATTTATGTGCTTTGGGTAGAATACAAAAATTAGTATTCTGTTATTGGATTAAGAGTACTATAAATATCTTTTATGTCCATTCATTTGAAGATACTTGGCTTATATTAATTTATCTGTTTTGGAAATATTGAAAAAAGTTAGTTAGTATTTTGTTTTTTGGTTAAGTGTACTATAAATATCTCTTGTATCCTTTTCTTAAAAGGTGTTAAATTATCTTCTTTCTTTGATATTTTCTGCCAAGTTGTACTATCAATTGTTGAAAGACTTTTTCATTCTCAAAAGCTAATGCCTCAATCCTTCTCTTCTTTTCTCTCACCTCACCCAACAAAAATAAAGAAGTAAATAAGTACATAAATAAACAAGTTACAACTATAAAAAAGTTATCCATACCCAATAGGAGAATAAGAGTGGATCAGAATCAATCATGTGACATTAGCCTTAACGTCCTAAACTATTTGGTGGAGCTCTTTTGATTACCAGAATCTTGGAAGTATTTACATGAATTCCCTCAGAGTTACATGTTCTTTCTTTCTTCAGATGATTTATTAAGATGGATTTCAGCTTCTTGTTATAAATTTTGGTACTCACCTGCTCCTCCATCTGACTTTAACCTTAGGGTAAGTTTTGTGTTTTTGCCAAATAAAGGTTGTCCAAATGTGGGGCTGGGGATGTGGCTCAAGCGGTAGCGTACCTGCCTGACATGCGCAGGGTGCTGGGTTCGATCCTTAGCACCACATACAAATAAAATAAAGATGTTGTATCCACCAAAAACTAAAAAATAAATATTAAAAAAATTTCTCTCTTCTCTCTCTCTCCCTTTAAAAAAAAAGAAGAAGCTTGTCCAGATGTGTTTGTAGTTTAGCAGCCACTGACACCTAGGTTTTCAATTCTTTTTATCATCTTCCATTTCTGTGTAGTACACTCCTGTTCCATCAGTCTATAACTTGTCCCTCAGTGCTCTCACATTCTGTGAACATAGCTCAGAATTTGTAATAGGAGGATTAACCATGGTCTCTAAGTCCCATCCATTTTTCTAATAGAATAGTTCCACATTTGTCTTTCAGATATGAGACATGAAGTAAAGCTTGGTAATAAAGTTTATTTTTACAAAAAGTATACTCACACTAAACAAAATTTAAGGACCATTGGTTTGAATTAATATACGCGTCTATTTTCCACCCTCAAATGGACTTTAAAGATAGCTTTTCCGCATTTTCACATATATTCTATTTCCACTCTTAAAATCTGTGAACATTACTTCACTGATAACAGGAAAATCAGGCACTAGAATTGACGTCTACAGAATATTTTATACAAAAACAACTTAATTTACAACCCTTTCAGCAGCTTATGGAATATTTTTGAAAAATAGGCCAAGTTTGATGAAACAATGTAAGTTTTAGCAAATATAAAATATAATAGATATATTTCCATACATTGTATCATATCATAATGAAATGAAATTAGAAATCAATAAGAAAGATAGAAACCACATAAAACATGGAGATTGAAAATACCATTAAAAAATGGGCCATAAAGGAAATAATAAATTCTTCAAAACACATGATAATAAAAATACAACATATCAAAATTCCTGAGACACTATGTAAGCAGTTTGAAGAGGAAAAAAAATGTAGCCTTTTATACTTATTCAATATTGTTTTCATTTCAAGTTTAAATATTTTTAATACCTTTGGCCTTTGGAAGACCTCATCATATCCACATTCAAGGTATTCAGTTACATTTTCTTCCAAATAATTGGTGTGAATGTATGGTAGAACCTCACTCACATCATGATACTATAACCAAATGCTCTGTTCACTAAGATACTAGAATGCAGCCTAATGCTATGGTGTTGAAAGGGAGTAAAGGCTTATCATAATTTCTCCATAGTGTCCTCATCAGATTTCTCATTGTAAGTTCTGGAATGCCACATTTTCTTTATCCATTCATCTGTTGAAGGGCACTGAGTTTGTTTAATAACTTTGCTATTGTGAATTGAGCTTCTATAAACATTGATGTGGCTACATCACTGTAGTATGCATCTTTTAAATCATTTGGGTATATACCAAAGGAGTAAAATAATTTGGAGAAATACTGGCTCCATTTCAAGTTTTCTGAGGAATCTTCCTATTGCTTTTTGCAATCCCACCAGCCATGTATGAATATAACGTTCCCCCAACATCCTAGCCAACATTTATTGTTGCTCATATTCTTCATAATTGCCATTCTGCTTGGAGTGTGATGGAATCTTAGTTTTGATTTGTATTTCTCTAATTGCTAGAGATGTTGACATTTTTTTCATATATTTGTTGATTGTTCATATTTGTTGTGCTGTGAAGTGTCTGTTCATATCCTCTCCCCTTTTATTGTTTGTGTTATTTGTTCTTTTGTTGTTAAGTTTTTAGACTTCTTTGTATAAACTGGAGATTAATGCTCCATCTGAGGTGCAGGTGGCAATGATTTTCTTTCCACTCTTCCCCTTGCTGTGAAGAAGCTTTTTAGTTGAATACCATCCATTCATTGATTCTTTATTTTACTTATTGCACTTGAGAGGTCTTTTGAGGAAGTTTCTTCCTAAGCCAACATGATGGAGAGTCAGTCCCACATTTTCTTCAAGTAAACCCAGCATTTTGGTCTAATGCCTAGTTCCATGATCTACTTTGAGTTTTGTGCAGGATGAGAGATTGGGGTCACATTTTATAATTTTATTGTGCCACATATGGATTTTTACTTTTCCTAGCATCATTTGTTGAAGTGGCTATCTTTTCTCCAAATGTGTTTTTATGGCATCTTTTTCTAGTATTAGATAACTGTATTTATGTGGGTTTGTCTCTTTCTCTTCTGTTCTGTTGTATTTGTCTTCATATTTATTTTGGTGACA